AAGTGTTTTTCGTGATATGCTATTTTTCTGATCCATATAGAAAAATTGATTGACTTAACAATGATGTTGAAAATCCGAATTTTGTTGTTTCAGCTGGGAATTGAAAGAGATTTACAAAGTGATTGCAGAGTGATGAATGCCCGTCTTGCCTTTTCGATTCTGATTAGTTTTGACATCCTTATCAATGCCACAGGCTGAAGTTCAAATGAAGACGTCTAGATAAGTGAAGGAAAAGACCTGTTTTCAATTTATTTCTTTGAAAGTATGTCGTGTTTGTTGTTGTCATTGGTTGGTTATCTTCATCAGCTCCATCCTCTATATATTCACCTGAATTCCTATTTTTACTATCTGCCCCTTTTTTCACCTGGTTTTTCTCCTTTAAGTCTTCAAATTTATGTGACATTAGACATAAATCGTCTCCGAAGTCCACATCATCTAGAATTTTCTTATCAGTTCAACGTATTCCTGTTTTCTCGTTCCCCATTCACGGTGTCGTACATAATTCAGTCCACGACAATGAGCAATATCATCGTTGATCGTAGTTAGACAGCTCTATTTTATTCCTGTATTCAATTAGAACGCATCGCTGACTTCTCCGCTGTGGATCACCTGACACGTGGCATTTCCATTTGACGAGCTGTTGAATGACGTTGATAAAGATTTGGGACACTTCACTCCGTAGTGTTGAAGTAGTTTCCAAACTACTTCTTGAACAACACTATCGAAAGCATTTTTTAAGCCGATGAAGTTGAGGTAGAAATTTGACCGCCATTCTATGCTTTGTTCGATGGTAATACGTAGATTTGCCATTCGATCAGCACATGATTGACTTTTCCTGATTTCAGCTTATTCCGGTTGGTGACGTTCTGCATCCAGTACGTCGTTTTTTTCCTACAAGATTATGTGACTAAGTATTTCACTTAGCCTGGCTTTTAAAGAACGACCATATTTATAGGATAATATGAGCTCATTTAATTTCATGGATTCTCTTCAACTGCATACATCTTAAACAAAATCAAACTATAAATTACAAGATTTTTGGGTTTATTTTCTTTAAAGTGGCTTCGAGTTATACAAAGGAGGTAAAAGAGATGTAATTCCGAATGTGAAGTTAGCAGATAAATTATTCAGTATTAAAAGCCTAACTATTTATAGTATATAAAGACAAGACAGGGATAGAATTCAGATTTCACTTGGAAACAAATATGAGCCAGAGACTGAACAGCACAGTGAATTTACACATATTATAATGCAGAGCTAAAGGAGGATGGGAGTGAATAGTGACGCAAAATTGTAACATAGGCCACAAAATTAAATAAATTTGAAACACAGTAAATCAAAATCAAGATTAAAAGAACTTTTGCACAATAGCAAATAATACACAAGCACGTGAAAATAACAATCACAGTTACCAGGGCATTGAGAGTTTAGTCAGGCCACCTTTCTGTTTACGAAGGTTGAGTCGAAGTCTTTTGATAGCAATGGCTTTGGCACACTGAAGTAACCATGGTTTTCTTGGTGTACTGATTATTTTGACTCATTTCTACTGTATGTCTTGTGTGAATTATAAGTCTGGCAATTGCACTTGAGACAGCTGATTATTTTGCTTATACTTTCAATCTATAACTTGAAGTCACTATGAAAACGTATGTTCAGAAATTTTGTAACTTATATTGTGATACTATCCAAGAAATACATTGAACTGTTATTATCTTGCAAACATGGTCGTTCTTTCTCTGATTTTACTTCTATCTTGGTCGTAATATTGTCTTATTCTTTAAACGAATTATCTGACAACCTGAAAAATACTTCTTTGTACTCATAAAGTAAAACATTACATACCTTTTAGTAGTATTATTATATTATTCTGACTGATCCACCTTCCTGTATTTCATCAGTTCCACAGCATAAATTATGTTGATAGAAAAAGTGGAATCAACTTCATAAAACGCACGAATAAATACAACGTCTATGCAGGAACAATGAAGTTACCGATAGTATGATATGCTTAGAGTATAAAACACCAGAAAGCTAGGTCAGATATCGATAAGGTTCTAAGAGAGGATCAGTACCATTTGAAAATGACTACAAGGCAATTAGCATAAAGCTTCTAATGGCTTCCAATATCTTAACAAACACTAAAGTGCACACGTGCCCTTAAAAAGCCAATAAAACCAATGGAATAAGATATCTATCACTGATGGTTTTCGGTTTAAAACAAGCTCTTTTGAGCATAGTTCAAATTTCGTGAATCTGATTAAAAAATTGGAGGTTATTTAAGTTCAACTGGCTGTGTTTTTTGTGATTTTTAAGGTCAAGAAAATATTTTAGTTACGGGTTGAGATCAAATTACCTTTGTTTTTTTTACTTCCTACTTGAATACATTTCAGTGTCATACTGCTTTCTGAATGACAGTTATTCATCTCAAGTGACGGGTAGAAAATAGGATTATAAAAGGAAAACGTGTTCAGCAAAGAGTTACTCTTTTTGGTGACATCATTCTAGAGCTGGACAATCGCATACATATATAGCAAATAATCTCCTCAACAAAAAGGAATACTTTCAGAGATTGTCATTAGAATTGTAAATTTTTTTAGATAAAAAATAACGTAATATGAAAAGTGTTAATCAGGTAGAAACTAAAATAAAATCCAACCAGTAAATTGAGTGCCGTAACACAACTGATGGAAATGAGTAGAATTCCGCTTAAAATGAACGGGATTCAAGTTAACGACAGTAGTATTAATGGGCAAAAATTTAATACGGGGTGCGGGAAGAAAAAGTACAACTAAAAACCACAGAAAACAAAGAAATTACATATTTGGTGTTAAGATAGATCAAATCCATTGTAGATTTAATGACAGCATAAACTTTTTTGTATGCAGAGTTCAAAATTAAACATGTGAATCGCCATTGCTTCCGCAATATCGTTTAGCTAGATTCTCGTGTATTCTGTAGCTGACTTTGAAGTTTCTTTGTGGTTTAGCTTGGTAACTAGAATCAGTTAGGTGTTTCAAGGTAGAGCTGCTGTGGGGGGGATCGTTTTTCTCCTTTACAAAGCCATGAAGATAAGTGATTGAGGATACATTTAGATAGCAACGCTGAGTACGGCGGATATTCCCAGCTCCACACTCGCAGGTGAATTGATAGATGCGCACTAATGAGGCCAGCAATGGAAGCTTATTCTTCATGCTCATGAGAATCATTGGTTTTCTAGAGGAAATAAATCGAAGTTCAACTATGAAGAAGGCTTTTCTTCACTGAGCAGGATAGTCGAGTTCTCTGTATTTCTGCAAATGACTCCTCATTGAATTGTAGATTCAAGTAGAAAAGTCTTTTATCAGCAGAAAATCGGCAAACTGCATTTGAATTATGAGTCAGCACCAGTCGCAGTTATCTTCATGAATATCTGTATCTTATACTAAGCAAAATAAAAAGAACAAAAAAAACAAGTATCAATTTTGTTACGGTAAGACCTTATGCGAGTGCTTCAGTTGTTGGTGCTCTTGTGTTAGTTGGAAATGAAACGGAGGGATTGATCATAAACACTGAAAAAGTCACTTTAAGAATGCGCTCGAGCATGCTGTATTATAAGTACCGTTTTTTGGAATAAAGCAGATTACTATTATTAGTAACATCAGATATACTTATACAAAGTTGGGAACGTATTGCTTTAGAAATATTACAACTTACTCTAACTAGGCCTGAAGGTATCCTGATGACTTAATGTATTTGGAGCTCGCAGTATCTCCAAATCCACCACATACATTTTGTAGTTAAATTCAGATCCCTTTGACAGTGTAATAGGAAATATATAAGGTGAATATCTTGTTAAAAATGTAGGGAAGACATTGATGACAACATTTTTTAAACGAATCATTTTCATTCATATTTATACTGAACACGAAGTTCATTGTAACCGGTTTAATGATCATGGCGACTAGTTGGGCGTCCGAAATTGACGTGGAAAAGATAATATCAGAAAGAAATGGAGGCAAGTTTGTGTGTAGTAGTGTAACTAAGTGTAAGTAATGCCACAGAATTGAGTACAGTATAGATGTGGTGGTTGATGTCTTCTGTTCTACTGGGTAAGCAAAGAATGCACAGTGATAAAAATGACTTGAAAGCTTACAGATACGTCAAAAGCTAAACAACACCAGATGAATATCTTCACCAAGCTAAAGTATAACGACCCAGATTTTAAACGCACAACTAACCCTGGAAGCGTACTATTCGTAGGATAACGGGACCTACCATCATTTTGCGGTGACTATGAAGGAACGGAGGAGCGAATTTCACCCCGATCTTGTTTTTAAAACCTGTTTGGGTAATCTGCTGATTAGGGTTAGTTATAGAATAGGGGTGAGAATTCGGGGTCAGGACTAGACTGAGGATTACGGCTGCAGTCAAGTCTGGGTTAGGCATTAGGGTTCTGTCCATTTCTCCAGTAAATTTTTGTTTATCCCTTCACTAGAACCCATGCTAATTCAATGGATGACTTTTGTGACGACTCAAAAATAGGATAAGAGAGATAGCTGGGTCACAAAAGAACTTATCTTCACTCACCTAAATAAATAAACATGTTCAGTAACGGATAAACCTGAAAAATGATACTCCTCATTATAATTAGAGATATTTCTAAGTCACGTCATGGAAAATTATCCCGTTTACTGTGTCTTATCATTATTCTGTGTATTTGTTTTGTAAGTGAGAGTCATTTTTATGGATAAACCAGTGGTTTTTCTCAGTGTCGCATTTTGTGGATTGTCATAGTTTAACTTTGCCAATATTTTGACAGTACAATGTCTTGACCACATCGAAAGGTGAGTGAGGCACCACTAAATTATAATCTAGGTAGTTTGATACTAAAATGGAAACAATGGAGTGTTTTTCCAATTTATTTGTAATTTATTCTACAAACTAAGTGTGTTTTGAGTAAATTTACAAAGTCTAGTCAAGATATTACCGAAAGGCTATTTAAACACATTTCTTTGTTTTAGGTGCCAAATAAACGAAATTTTTTGTGTACCACATTTGAATTACTCTCAAAAAATATGGAAAGGGTATGGTCTTATTTAGAAATTCGTATAAATCAAGAGAATAATTCAGAAGGTACAAATCGTGTTACATTCACAGTCATAACACACGAACGTGGAGAGTTACCGTTCAGTGCTTACGATAGGCATATTCATACAATTCTACCACCGGAGACTTCTGTCTCATTATATTTTTCAAGTCTGTAACAACACGTTTGAACACTGCAAGAAATCCATGTCATGTAGGCGCTGATGCTAAATTTATCGCTTCTGAATTAACTATAGACACAGAAAGTGAAAATGTTCATCAGAAAACAGTAAATGATCAATCAGATCAGTTATCACAAAAATGTCATCGAAGTCAAAATCGATAATGAGAGATGGAACAGAAGACTACGATGCTAATTCACTTTCCAACATGAAGATCAATGAAAATGATGGTGAAGGAAGTATTAAGCAGCAATGGTACCTAGATTACCTTGACACTCTTCGAATGAAAAATAATAAAATGAATGTTAGTGAGACAACTAACTATCTACAACAAGCAAATCACGTTTTCGTCAGAAAAATTCAGATCAGCGTCGTAGCAGTAAATCAGCCACTGTCAGTTTATTCGGTACAGAGTTTTTATATAGTCGTGAAGCATGTGGATGGGCAGAATGCTGTGCTAAAACGGCACTGTCATGCAATTCTACATGTTCTCTCGACTTATTATCTGCTGCTTCACAATCACAGTCTCTATGTGAGCGTTCACAATGTCAAGATGAACAAATCTCCTATGAAACTTGTCCACTACCCTGTATACAAACAAAATTTATGAAACACAGTGAAGTACGTTTATCAGGTAGTGAAGATGATCTACCTACTTCAACAAGTCGATTAAAATTGGTACGTAGTGAAAGTGTACAAGTGGCTACAGAAGAGGAGATATTCTCATTAGCTAAACTATTCTCTGAAGTTGGTGGTTTATGCTCATTGTTCATTGGTTTTAGTTGTATATTTCTGTTTGAATTGTTAGAAGCGCTTATTTTAATGCATTATCCAAAGAATAAAACAAAGAAATCATTAGAACTGATCAATAATAGTAATGTGATTTCTCAACCAGAATTTTTTCAACATAATGATGAAAAGTGTTTGAAGAAATTTACTGCTAAAACTGACACAGATAGTGTACCGAACATTACAACAGACTACATAATAAGTTCACCGACAACTACAACAATAAATACTACTAATATGTCTAAGGATGATGACAGTAGTATGTTCAGTGGTAATGATGAATATAGAAAGAGTCAAACACAGAAATTTGACGATCCACTAGAACTGAACAAAGCCAATGTTAGCACATTTCCAGAAGATGAATACCTAGAAAAAGAAACACAAGTGTCTTCTCAAAATAAGTATTTCAGTGGCTTGAAAAATGAGTTGAAAAATCCCACTTATCCTGTGGACAAAAGTTCTATCCCACTAAAGGCATTATATCATCAACAAGATGAGGATATTGATCGTAATCATGAATGTGATGGTAGAACCGATAATAATGGTGTTAACAAACACATTCTCTCCTTGTATAACAGACATACAACTGAACCAAATGAATTTAGTCAATCCAGTCATGTGTATATGTTGCCTATTCGACTAACAACTAATGTTTTATTGCATAAAATAATGGAGAATCAGACAAAAACTGCTAGTTTAAACTCTCGTGAACATTCTGTTTGTTCAGCTGATATGGTTGGAAGAGATTATAACTATAGTGAGACAATAACAGGTAAGTTGTAAATTTACCTAAAATTATTTAAAAATGATTATTTTGACAACAAAAGTTTTGCATAGTTTGTATGAATTACTTGTTGCGCTAGAAGCGTATGCTGTTTCTCTTTTTTTAAAGCTATGTGATCAATTCATTCAGGTTATATATAGCGATAAAATCAATGCGAAAAAATCGCTATGAAATACGCATTACTGTAAATCTATGAAGGTAGGCTTGGTCAAGTGTTTAACAAAGCAAGCAGTAGCACTTAGTACTACATCAAAAAAAGCTAAACGATGAAATGTAACAGACAGTAGAAGAGTTGGTGTTAAATAGCTACTCTATAAAATTCATTAAAAAAAAGATCAAAAATGTCATAAGAAAAACAAAAGTTATAATGAAACCAGAAATAGGGGCTAATATAAGACATCTACAGACTTTCCACTTAAGTAAGGAACATCTGAAACCCTATGTGTAGGAATCTCAACAAAAGAAGGAATTAGGGTGGCATTTAAACTCACAGACTGATTCAGGAACAAGTTCTGTAGGCTGATGGACCTGCCGACCTGATTGGAGAGGATAATTTATTCTAGAAAATATCTTGCCATGACTGTGAGGTCAACTAAATAATTGAGACCAGTAAACCGGAGTCAGTCAGATAATCAGAACACTAGAATTTAGCTAAGTGTAGAATGACTGACCCCGCGAAGATAAGCAATTTAGAAGAAAACTCAGTTGCACCGCATACATTAACAGAAAACCACATGACAGGGTGAGGCATAGTAACACTTCTAAAAATTAATATAGATAGATTGAGAGAGAGATTGATTATTGGATCTTCGTCCCTTGAATCTACACCTAAAACATGTGATAGAAATGACTCATCACTGATACCAGAAATGTGGAAAATATTACTACCCAATCAGATCGAGAGATGAGAAATAATCGAATTCAGAAAGTTGTGTAACTACCTTGATTTGATTATGAGCAATAAATTGTGCTTGAAACGTCATCAGCCAATAATACATTGTAACATTGTCAGATACATTTACTCTATGATGAAACTGCACTCTGTCACAGGCCCAAGGTCTTATTCTTACAGTAAATCTTCTAATAATTTCTTGCAGTCTGTTCAATCTAAATGAAATCTTCCAAAGAAGAAGATAAATGCAATAAGTGCAGTGGAAAATGTGTTAAGATTTAGTGACTGGTAAATATCAAACATTCTTAAAGTGAATATTCAGGGATAAAACAACGTAAAGTCGAGTTTACAAACACACACAGTAGCAGATATATTTTGGTTGTTTCGAAGGCAAAATTCTTGACAAAGTTCTAATGATACAGCAATTATACTGAGTGCCATTCCGGTGCAATTGTACAAAACGCTTTTTACATTTTACTGTTTATAATCCAGCGAATACATGTAACTTAGATTGTAAATATTCTGGCGGTTTTATTTCTTTGTAAGCTTATGTGAACAGAAGTGTCGTATGAATTTGAAAAACTCTTTATAAACCATCACATACACTAATAATGATTTATAGAATTTTATAGAAGTAACTAGTTTATATCACACCTCCAGTTGGAGTTTTCTGTCTTTCTTTCAAATGGTTATTTTCCTAGCACTTTATAGTGAAATACATCACTAAACATTTAGTTGAATATTTATGTACGTAATTGTTGTATTTTTTAAAATGTTCAGTTGAAATATGGATGCCGACTATGGTGTCTAATTTAGTGATAAAAGATTGACAATCTTTACTAACTGATACGCCGTCGAAAAGTACATATTTCTCAGTTAGTTAACGTCTAAACGGATCTCCGGAACAATCCACTTCAAATATCTAAGCAGGTCCCATGCATATATTGACAAGTATGTAAACGTAGAGATTTTCGTTACGCCCATATGTTGTTATCATTATGTATTCCATAGATTAATTAAGACAATAATCTAGCCAGAACACTGAAACAGTGTACACAGTATGCGATTACTTGTCTGCAATGCGATCGTAAAATAAATCATTTTTACAGTAATTCTCGTCGGTGGCACAACGGTTAGGACGCTCGCTGACCATACACATGGTCCGGGATCCGATCCCCGCCCGACCCACTCCTTCACCTCGCTAAGCCGGAAATTATGCTGGTAAAGAGGAAAGGATGGGCATGGGGCTAGCAACCCCATCCTGTAAAATAAACACTGATACAGAATCTTCAAGCCACTAGCTTGAAGCCCTATGTTCCACTGAGAACGTGAAGGAAATAAAAAACTGTAATTATCCAGATTTTGAAAACAATAGGATGGTAGCACCCAAACAGTATCTCGGGACAAATTACAGTTACATAACTAATTTCCTCCTTCATGAACAATTCAGTTTTGAAAGGGTTTTTCTTCGCATGTAGACTAATATTCTCTTAGTTAATTTGCAACATGTACAACGAAGTATTTTCAGTTCATCCTATAAGTGTGTAAGTTTTGACCATTTGAGGTTTTATGTTGACTCAGACATTTATCTTTGTTGTCTAATTTTGAAACAGTTCATGACAGCTGAATATTTTGTTGATAGTGGTATGCTGACAAGTTTTGGGAAGTACTTGAAAAGTCTTCTTTAAGAATTTACTCTTCTATCTATCTATGTGTAAGTCAACTAACTATTAGGATTAATTAATTTTAAAATGATTAATTTTGATTTTTAAATTCAAAGAGACAAAGAATTAACATGTCCTACAGTTCCTAGGACTTAACCCTACACACTCACACACACACTTACCATTTTTTGCTTAGAGGCATAAAAACCGCTGATAACACTAGTGGTATTGGTCGCTAAGTTGAATGAATTCACAGACATCCAAACTGCTGCCTGAATACACTAATTTACCAAATGTTCTTTGTATGACCATGTCTTGTATAGAATATATGTTTGATTCTTTATTTCATCAACTTCCAAGTAGACAGCTGTCATAATTTGAGTGTTTCAGCTGAATTTAGATTCACTATTAGAGAATTCAATAACAGAATCAGTGTTTAAGCTACCTGATGCTGGCTAAAAAGTGCTATTTGTTTGTCACATTCAGATTACAGACATATATCAATAGTGTAGACTGTGCACCTCGAAATTTTCATAGTTTTATTACCGTTTATCTTTCCAGGTAGACAACTCAATTTCAATTAACAGATTATGCATTGATTTTTATCAGCCATCTTGTACAACCAGTGTGATTCCTACATGTTAGAACAGTGGACTGTGAACATTGAGACGTTTGTATTAGTAGTAATTTGAACAGAAAAAAAGAATTTTAAACTCTTTTGATCTGAAAAAAATGAACTGAAGTGAGGTTTACTGCCAGGGGATTAAAGGTAATCCAAATCGATTACCATTTACACTAGCTCCTTTTGTGTTTAACTCTTAGCTAAGCGAAATCCCAGGCAGTGCTAAGTAGATTTTTTAAGCATTTATTAGGATTAATAAGTGACTGTGTCGATTAGGATCATCGTAGCTGGATATTCATCAGAATTCAACTCTTGTGGCTGATGAAATCCAATAGTAGACAATTTCTGTTGCAGCTCACACTTCATCAGTATCGCTTAACCTTTCTTAATGCAACTGATAGGAATGCATGCATTCTTAGTATCGTGAATCATCTGTTCCTGTTATAACTTCAGAAAAACTATCTCACAGGTGAACACAAACAAACAATGAGTCATATATTTAATTGGTGGACGGTGACTAGTAGTGGAATCCAGGATGCGCATTTCGTCCCATTTGGGACTCTTCATCTGGGTGTACTTGCATTTCTCAGTGAGTGGTGATGATGTTCTCACCGAGGCTCGAACCCAGTGCCCATAGTTTCAAACGCCAAAACGTTATCCACTAGATCAATTAGGCCAGGAGAGCCACCCCTTATGCAACGGGTCGTATTAATTATTTAACTGAATTTGAGATTTTCCCGTCGATTTATTGGTCCGAAGTGATCGGTCTCAGGTTGACATGTCCGGTTCTTGTGCAGATGATTCGACGATGTCTGGGCATTTAATTAGTATTCAATTGGTGGATGGATTGAGTCATATAGGCTACTTCATGTGTATTAAATTCTGGCATAGCCATCAGTAACCGTGCGGGAGATGGCATTTATTATGATTCTTCGAAATAGTCTTCAGTGATATCCAGTATGAATACACCTGAGTTTTTAAGTTTTCTGTAGATGAATAACTAGGTGTCATTTGAAGATTAAAAAGTATAGTGCAGGTATATAAACATCGATTCAATGTGATTAAAACGCAGAACATAAACAGCTTTGTTGAACACATCAACTCGATGATGGAGACAATTCAGTTCACCTTTGAATTGAAAAGTCAAGAAGGGATCTTCCTATGCTAGACATAGCATAAAAAGAAAGAAGATGGGAAGTTAAGCACCAGTGTTTACAGAAAGCTCACATATTAAAACTAATATTGCAATTTCGGATCATGCAACACTGTGTCAGTAAAAATAGGATAGGCGAAGTGTTTAGGCAATAAGTCACAAAAACTAAGTAGTACCGAGAAGAATTTAAGACAGGAAGTGAGGCATACAAGAGAATTTTTGATACTTAATAAATAACCTGAAAAAGTAATCACGAGGAATGTAGGAAAATGTAAAAATAAAATTAAAAATAATCGTATGATTATTAATGATGACATGTATGTCAGACGTGCACAGGATTATGACAACAACAACAATAGGGAATTTAAACTATCTGTAGTACTTCCATACGAAGAGAGAGACTCAGGAACTTTACGGTGAATTCTTAATAAGTCAGGAATAAAAGCGGCATTCAAACCCACAAACTCAATTAGAAACAAGCTTTGTTGCCTAATGAATCCTGTGGAGCCTTTATTATTATTATTGTATCCTTTAGTTCCTAGAGGAACATAGGGCTTCAGCTGCGCACCTCCATTGACTTCGGTTTTCTGACAACTTTTTCACCCTGCTCCAGGTCTGTCCACATGCTTTCATCTCCTCCTCACATGACCTCCTCCA